GGGCAAAATCAACAGAACAACACCCCTCACACAGGAAAAGGAATGGTGAAGAAAGAAAACAAATCACTGAAAAAAAAAGATGGCAGAATGGGGAGTCAGAAGAGATACACTTGGGGAAGGAAAAAAAAGGAAGACCACTGACAACAGAGACAGGACACAGGCATAGAACTGTCCTTATAGCAGTAAAACCTACACTGACAAGATAAAAGATCAAAACACAGATTCACAATCAAAAGGGCGTCTTGATTTGAGCTGTAAGAGAAGCACATTATTGCAATTACCAATATTGATTGCTTGTTTGAGGAGAGAGAAGCACACCAACATATTGGTAATTTAACGCACGTAAAGAGCGAGACAGACAGAAACAACAGATAGAAAAAAATAGATGTAGGACCTACTGGAGGCACCCTCCAACCACAGACACTGACATTGAAGTCAAACAAAAAGAAAGTTAGACAAAAACAAAACAAAAGAGGTAAATAAAAGAAGGAGACCTACTAATGATGCCCTAAAACCACCAGTGAAACGCCAGTCGAGAAACAGCAGGAAGAAATGGCGCAAGAGAGAAGAAAATACTCTCATAGGTATCTTTAAACTAAACCATGAGTTCAAAGGATACTAAGAGTTAAAAATTCAGTAATAATTTTGAAGATTCCAAAAACAAAAACTTAACGTATATCATACCATCTGAACTTATCCGAAAGACACATATACAGAAAGGAATAAATGTTTAAGGAACACAGCACACAAGTTGAAAGAATTTAAGATTCATCTCTGAGTATTATTAGAGTCCTCTGCAAATCCTGTCAATGAAATCAGGCCAGAAAATGTTTCTCCAAGTTCTTCTATATCATAAAACCTGTGACACAGACATGCTCATATCATTATAATAAAACAAAAGGAAACCAAGAGGAACTACATAAACGAACTACATGTTAAAAAAGCACAGGCAGAAATGTTGAAGCAAACAAAGTTACCTTAAAATGTAATAAATAATAAACAATTGAAACAACTACGGGCATTCAGTAACAGTTCATACATAGTTACATAGTTGAAATTACAAGTGCAAAGAAAGAGAAATAAAAAAATATCATCCCCTCACCCCCCCCCCCCCCCCCACCAAACTTTCCAACAAATAAAAGTCTCAAATCATTAAACCAGCAACTTAACAAGCACTACCATTGTCTGCTCCTCAAGTCACTTGAAAAACTTCAGCTTCGAGATCGAAACGAAACAGCTGAAGTTGGAACGCCTCTGTCCACGAGGTAGCCATCACAACCACACACACAGACGTGGCGTGCGGCTAGAAGAAAACAAATCAAGGGAGTCTTCACAGGTCTTCAGAACAGATGGACCACAATGAACATTCTACTATTTTAGTTCGCACGATTTCAGACTCTGCGTTATAAAAGAGATGGTGGGTCAAAATAATAATTTTCAAATTTTGCAGGAAACAGACTGAACAATAGTTATCAGCTGTGATAAGGACTGAGCAGATCACATCACAGCTCTGACCAATCCTCCTCTAGCGGCTCTATCCTCTCAAAGCTTGAGAGACAGCACAGCGCATCAACATTTACTGGAAAAAGTGCCCCCTCCCCTCCTCCATTTCCTTGAAAAAATCACTGGGTGCAAGACTGAAAAGTTTCTGATAAGAGTAGATAAACTACCATTTATGTACAAACTCAACACTCATGCCTGGAAGAACTACCAATATGTATCAAGAGCATACATGGTATAAGCCCAACATCTAAATAGCAGAAGAGACTTTATACAAAAAAGCTTGGCAAAAGAGTTACCATCATATTGAAATTACTATTCTCATCAAGAATACAAGCAGCTGTAGCACTACAACAGAATACAAGAGGTGAAATATTTCAGCACGATTCATTTCAAAGTTCAAAACTAAAACAAAAATACAAGCACAGTGCATAACTTTTCTCGCTAACCTCGCAGACAAATTCAAAAGAACATTCAGGAAGATCTACCCAGCAACAGAAGAATTACTGCCACAATGTACATGAAATATAAGAGGTGAAACATTTCAGCACAATTCATTATCTATATCAAAGCTCAATACTTTAACAATAATACTAGCACAGAGCATCATAAGCCACTGCATGATAACTTTTCTCGCTAAACTCATGGACATATTCAAAACAACAACCAGGAAGATCGACAAAGAAACAGAGAAGAATAACAGACACATAGTATACATTAACATGAGACAAAAAGTCAGTACGCAATATAGAAGTAAAATGGGAAGTGTACATTGGCACATAGCCGCCTCACATTGCCATTTTCTTACTGATGGAAAAACACTTTGTCAAACATTTGAGAACAAAATGCATGTATGTCAGACCAATAATATGTTACACACACAAAATAGTCCCTTTCATTAATCCGTTTTAACTACACGGCGTGTTAGAGACATTTGGCTATGCACATTCAATTGTGTGTGCATAAAATAGTTGTTTGAGAGGGGGATCCATTTCCTGGTGGTATTCAATTAGGCGTGAGGAGAGCTAATTAAAAATCACTCATATTTAGCTTTTTGGCCAAAACCGCGCACCATACAAAAAACTCCAGCCTCCCGTGCCGGATGTAGCTGACAACACTTTTCCCCGCTGAAGACTCAAGCTTGAAAACTCCACACACACGTTTCCGGTAGACCTACACTGTGTAGACAGATTCACAGAGCTGCCGTTTTACTATGAATAAGGCGCAATTGTTGTGAATAGATTTTTAATTTAGCCAAAAGGACTAATGCATAAAAATTAAACATAACGAGGATGTACCAAAGCGCTATAGAGTACAGAAATTTAAAATAATCACAGAAATAACAACGCGTGTGGCAGGTCTGGGGTGACCTCTCGGGCTAGCAAAATAGGCGAAAAAGTATGGTGCCCCATACCGACCACGACCTACTAATTCCTTGTGTACATCTAATGCAGGATCTGACCATTGATGACAAAACAACCGGAATATTTCGTTCTTAGACTTTATTTGTGAGTGAGTGTTTTACTTTTATTTTGGAATAAGTGTTTTTGTTCCATGAATGTGTTAGATAAGAGAAAGAATAACATCATTTACATACAGTAACGGACATGACGACTGAGCCTTATATCGTAATGCACGTTGTGCATGGTTTTGAATCGTGAAATCAAACTTAGGAGACATATGCACCTTACAGTACGTCTCTGACATGAAGTGCAGCATACACCTCACTTTCCTCATTAAGTGACCCCACTAAAACATTACCTTTTGAGTATTTACAAATACTGCCCATTGTTCCATACACGTAAAGATAAAGTGAGACATACCTTGCATTTTTTAAACTTCAGAAATGGGAGAAAAAAAACCCAGTGCCAGGCAAAGAATAATTGAAATTGATGTACATATTTCCATACGTCACCAATGTGCCCAAAACACAAAGGTTATGGCCACAAGTTTCATTCATAACACATTATAGTTCCCCATATCATCGCCTCAGAACTATTTGGTCCAAGTACCTCTTTACCTAATTAGGCTACTTACTTTCTTACTTTCTACCCATTACGCCATCTGGCGTTTAGGGCAGCAACAAAGGATCTCCAGGACTTTATTTCAGACTCTATTGTGCGTCTCCAGGTCACTTTGGGTCTGCCCCTTTTGCGACGTGTACCTAATTACACTTTGGACAAAATAGTTCCGAGGCCACGATATGAGTAACCTGGACACTTTCACCTCAATTTCCTTAAATGTCTTTCAAAACTCCTTTTAAATCCTGTAACTTTACCACCCAAAAAAAAAAGTTATATAATTCATAATTGTAGATGCTCAACGTCCCCAATTGTCACAAGTTTAGATCACAGAGAAGTCGGGCAGCTTTGACCCCTGCCTGTCAGGGCCACCTTATGCTGAGAGAGATGGGATACAAGGTCACAGAAAAAAGACAGAGACACTCTATACAAGAACCTCCCCACAAGGGAATCAAACTCATATCTTCAGTGAGAAATGGCCAAGTGCCACACCGCTACATCACAGACATCCACACTGTAACCAAGAAAATATTATAATTATTATTATTATCATCAATGATTTTCCTACCCCCTTGATAATGCCAACACAAACCTGTCTTTTCAACCACACACTAGTCACAGTCACAGATGAACAAAAACTGAGATGTTGCCTCACTTTGAGACACACAACTCAAACTGTCGAACATCATCGAGTTCTGGCAAGAAAAAAAATGGCTTTGTACTCAACTACCCACGGGCACTTTGAACATTTCTTTTTAACGATGAAAAGTGCATCAAAATCAACCTAACCATGGTTAAATAGCTTTGAGGGGGGGGGGGGAGGAGAAAGAAAATGGAAATAACGAAGAGGAATAGTAGAACATGTTGTAGGCTTTCCTGTATCACTTGTGCATTGGAGAAAAAAAATAAGGTGTATTCATTATTCTCTCATAAATTTCAAAATTTTATGAAAAATAAAATTAGATCAAGCGCAATTAATAGAGAAACAATGACAATACAACAAAGTATTGACACCGCTTGCTTTCATGCAAAATAGAGTGCTTTGGTATATATAATAAGATATGACAATTTACTTCAACAATTTCGCTTACATATACAAGACTATCATACTTGTGCCAGCAGAGAAACACCATGCCAAAACAATAAAACATTAACTTGATCTTCAAATTATTCAGCAGGTCAATTTGGGGCCCTTTAACTCATTAAGGACGCCCACTCCAGTCATTCGACAACACCTGAAGACTCACTGGTTGAGGGAACTTAAAAAAAAAAAAAAAGCATACCGTAGTTACTCATAATTTTTTTTCCTATTCTGTATTCAAAAGGCAAACAAGATTCCAATGCAAAGAAATATGCACAGCTCATGTTTTTGATTCGTGTAGTATGGTTCCAAATGTGCAGCAACATAGTCTTTGGTCCACTGTTGATCCCACTTATATGTCCGCTTCGTCTTCAAAGAGTTCATATTCCTTCTTTTTATTCATTCTTGTGTCAAGTCTCGAACATTTAACTCAGAACCCATGGTGCTAAACCTGTCAGAAAGGTTAAAGTTTGACTAAATAGAAGACTGGAACAAAAGACCTTGAAAATTTTTCCAGAGTTTTCACAGCTCTCAGACAGCAGCCCCTGTCTTACTAAAGGAAGACGTACACCGCAGTCAATACCGTTTAGATTGTTTGATCGTTTTTAAGGACAATGCTGTTTAGAGAAAATTGAAGTCAAAGTTTCTGGATTCTTATTCAGTCTCTTTAAAAGACAAGGAGAGTTTTCTCTATAACCAATGAAATATACACACCAATGAAGCCAAACTTCTCCCATAGGTAGGGCAATCCCACTTTTGATGTAGGTCAAGATTTCTGGAAACCCCGAAATCTGGGTTAGCCCCCTTGTCCTTAAAAGTGACCATTTCAGGAGGTAGGCTGCTACGACTCTGCCAGATAGGGAGAGCCAAGAGAAATACAGCATCCCAGCAGGCAGTTGGACACATCACCATGCTGGAAGAGAACTTATAAATGTGTCACACGACGCGAGGGGAATCAGGGCGCTTGTCCATTTTTGGGGCATGTGGAGTTATTGATATCATCTTAAAGCTTGTGCGCGTGGAACTGCTTTCGATGAATAAAATACAAGAAAATCTTTAACAGAAGTTGAGACATTTGTGACTGTAGGAGGTGGGGGGTCGCCTGGTTTCAGGGGAAGAATTAGAGAGAAATAGTTTGTCCTTGGAAACTTGAAAAACTAGATTTTTTTGGTGCCTTTGGTCAACATTTTTCAGTAAAACCCACACAGAAACGTTTTTAAATGAACATAATACGCGTTACGCCAAAAAATAAAGATTCAATATAAATTGCCAAACCTGCGGAAAAATGCTTCAATTTTATGATTTTGACAAGCGCCTGATTTCACGATGCCCCACATTTATTCTTGCATATAATGAAGAGCAAAACCATTACACTACATACAGACAGCGGTAAAACAGTAGCTAAATCCTGACAAAAATTAAAATTCAAAATGAGACTCCGTAACAGATCTTGATTAAAATTAAAACCTACAAACAATCAGTCAAGAAAACAGCAGCAGGCAAGGCATGAGAGTGGGTGTTTGTGTTACACCATGGTGTCATGTGCTGCTATCACTACCCCCCCTCCCCCCAAGAAATTACAAGGCATGTCATATCAATAACGGTAAACGATTCTGATGTTTAAGTAGGACAATTCAAACACTTCACTCACCAACATAAATCAGTCTACCAAGTCTTCCTGCTTCAACCATCTTTACCAACTGTTATCAAACAATTATCAAACTGTGCATTATAACAGAGACATGTTAAGTTTAATATTTGGACTACCAGAAGTGGAACTGCAACATTCCTGCATTGAGGATACAATGAACCCAGAACTCAGATCTTTTCTAAACAGTTTAGGTTATTGTGGAAAAAAAAAAAAGTGACCTCAAACAAATGAAATCTTGCATTCTTCCCCTTTCTCATTAATAAAATTTACAAAAGTGGGAATCTAGAACTGATATTTTAGAGTATGGTTCCCCTGAGACAATATTCTGACAAAGACAATCCACCTGGCAATAAAAAAAACTGTTGGCATCCCCCAACTCCCATCCAGCACAAACACTCAGTGCCATTTTTTAAAAGTCACTTATAAAATCAAAACTTGAGCTTCATAACGAGGCTCAACACTTTCCACCCACGGAGCACGCAGAGCGCGCAACACTTGTCCCCACGGACCAGGTGTACAGGTGCGGTACACGCTATATCACACAGCGCTGATCGGCGCCCCGTGGGGAAAAGGGACGGCTTCTTACAGTCGCCGACCGGCGTCGCGTGCGGGCAAAGTGTTAAAGAACAGAACATAAGTGTTCGCCTTACAGCGGCCATAGATTGAGCGCTTAGTCTTATTTCAACATGATAAAAGACAACGTAGTTCCAAATCCAATTCCCCGTGAAAACCTAAAACAGGGATATATGGCCCAACAGCGAAGCCGTAGGTCTCTTCCATTTCAAGTTGAGGGTTTGAATTTCAGAGCTACTGGACCTGATGACAATGTCTCAGGAAAAGGGAACATTATCCACATGGCCTTTTGACTTCCCACTATCTAATATGGTGCTAATTTTGGTATTAGCAAGTAGTAGGTGTGTGTGTTTGGGGGGGGGGACAGCAGATGGTGGGTGTCCTTGTTATCCAAGAAGTTCCTCTTGTCCAGTCTGTGTCTTGAGCCTTGAGTTTTGTGTACTATGTCATTGAAACAGAAAGGAGTTCCTCCAACTCTACATACCTCATATTATACTTCAAATGAACTTCTCTTTCAGTTTGCCATCTTGTCTAGTGATTGTTAAATGATCTGCATCCCCATTGCTTCAATAAATACAAAGGAGGGGGTACTTTGCCTACCAAAGCCAACACAGGCAGTGTAGCAGACAAAGGGAACTCAATGAAATATCTTCATCACTATGGAAATGAACTCACACCTTCTTCCCCCAAGGTGAAGGGTCTAACCATTGCACCAAGAAGCCTGTGAGCTGTACAAGAAAAATATCAGAGTAAGGTTCAAGATGGACCAGAAATCTGCACCGGACAATTTAGCCACAGACGGAAGGAGGTTTAATTGAAAATGGAAAGGCAAAAACTTTGTAATTTCTGTCAATTATCATTCAACAGACTCATCTTTTTAAAAAAAAGGTGGTTATGCCTGATGTTCCATTGTTTGCCAAAGACAAAAGTGTGAATCTTCCCCCTCAGAATGTCAAACATAACCTACGTGCTACATGGAATGCCATTGATAGAAATAACAAAATCATTCGCAACAAGCCATCAAAACCGTGTCTCTTTTTCAGTATCTAAACCACAAGCACTCATAACATCACGAAAACTTTGATAAAGCCCAATCTGGGCCAAAAGTCTCCATCTTCCCAAGTACCTGAGTAGCAAAAAATATTTTCAGAGACATATTACAATTTCCTTAAACATCAAGAAAATACTGTACAGTAATTCTGATATTGGCAAACAAAAGCATCCTACCGTCTGGCACGGGCCGGAGGGAACAACATTACAACATATACCTGTACACCACCACCCCGGCTATCCCCACCAAAACTGCTATTCCAAAGTACACGGACGGTGTGAAGAACGACTTGTACGGACGCCATCTCTCGCTCCGACGCTGTTTGTCTTTCATCTCCTTGATCTTCTGCATGGTCTCCTGCTTCCTTTGTTCTCGGATTCTCTGTCGCACTTGTGCCCTTCTGCAAAACAAACAAGACAAATCCAATAAATGATATTTTTTCTTTAAAAAGGGCACCAAGGGGGGAAAAAAGGAAGCGACAAAACAGGAAGCAACTGTGCTCACATACATGCTGAGAGCAGATAATATATCCATCTTCCTTTCTACCCATAGAATCAGCAGTGTGAGCAACACCTCATAAACAAAAACTGACATCATTCGGACGGACAAGTATGCCAATTCTCATCAAATATAAAATACAATTTTCTAGTTTGAAAAACTTTAGATTTCTTAAGGAACAAACAATTCAACCCTTTGCGCGCGGGTCCCAACTACTAGTCGTGATAGACAGAATTTCCACTCAAACCGACTCAGGTGTACAAAGGCCTACTAAAAAATGATGTACAAAGACGATGAAGAAGAAATTCGCAGCATACTGCATAGTAGTCCAAGCAGAATTGATTATACTTTTGTTTGTGTGTCACAACAAAAGAAAACAATGCCGATTGAGTTTTTTGGTAAAATTTTTCAAGACACTTGTTGGGAGGAAAATCTACAAGATATATCAGATCAGGAGAGTGATGGTGGGTCTGACTTGACCCACCAAACGTTTTTATGGACTCTGATTCACGTGAGTTGGGGGGGGGGGGGGGTGTTTTTTAAAGTTTTAATTGAGGTTTTACGGCCCTCGCAACTGCATAAGATCATATGTTACAAGATAGTAACAAACATAAAAAAGAAGAAGGGGAGATAAGGACGACAGACTTTTGATAGGAAAGAAGAAGCAGCAAACCAAATCAAAGTACCCGCCAACCACACATTCTGAGGGGTTTGACTTGGCTGAAGTTACTCAGAGAAATAAAGGTTCGGACATTGTAGATCTAAAGTTACTCAGAGAAATAAAGGTTCGGACATTGTAGATCTACTCGATTTTTGTTCCGACGGAGACGTTTCAACAGCAGAAGATGAAGCAAGGGGCCGGAGAAGGGAAGACCAACTGTTTGACATTTCTGACATAACTGAGGGTCCCCCACTAAATTTGATTTTTTAACTTCACACACTCATATATACTTCATCCAATAAGCTACAACTTTTAAAGTAAGGAAAATTCTGCCGCGGGTTGGGAGGCCTTTGCGGCTCCAGCAGGATCCCTGGTGGGGGGATCGGGGGACGAAGCCCTCGAAGAAATTCAAATTCAGTGCTTTTAGAGGGTTAAAAATGCCATTCGGGAGCCTGTTTGAAGAGATCACCAACAACCCATAACACCTATTTTTTTCATTAAGATTGTTGCTCAAAGTCAAAAGTAGAGTAATAACTTGAATGGCTCTAGTAGACCTATCAGTGTGAGAGAGTTGTAAGAACTGAGGGAGGGCAAGATGCAGTCCTGCAGTGACTCTGAAAAGCTGCCAATCTTGAACAGAAAGCTAAAATATAGTAATAATTCACTATCACTATCACCCATCCAATGAAACGCAAACACTTTCATTCAATAACAAGACTTACAAGGCATGGTGGATCCCGATTCCATACAAGGCCTGCACCAAAGCACGCTTTGCAGAGAGCTCTAATCAAAATTCTAAAACCTGTTATCAAGTTGCCTTCAGCAGCCCGGGAAAAGCCGAGCGAACATCACAATCGTGACCGGCAAAAATGAATTTACTGACCTATCCAATTTGGTTTTCAAATATTCAAGAACTTTATGTATTTTCCCAGGTCTTTCTCGGGGCAATTCACACATTTCCTCATACTACCAGATCTGGCAGGTTCCTATAACATTAACCTATTGCCAACAGAATTACCATTAATACTCGCAACTTATACAAGACAATATGATGGCAAGTAAGGATCCTTTGCCCCAGAATCTTGGTAGCCCTACGCTATCGCACTTTTTTACTAATGGAGTTGATAATGATGGGAGAGCAAGAATGGAACTGTCAAGAAGTAAAATACAGATTTCCGTAAAAATACGTAAGATTGGAAGCACTGTTTACATACACCCATACAAAATTTTTAAGAATAGAAAGTTATGAAGGAAATAAAATTTCTGTCTGAAATTTGCTTTTCTCGCTGTTTAATTCAGCATTCAGGGGAAATAATATGGGGACACAATTTAGCAGCAAAAGGGTTAAGATAAGAACACAGAGACATATTTGGAGAAATCTCACGACAGTTTCAGTCTAAAAAGGGACTGCTTTTTTCTCTCTACATTTGAGGCTTAACGTTTCAAGTCAACTTACTGCATTTCGCTGTCGCTCTCACTGTCACTGTCAGCGGCAATAACGTTATCTCCAATGTTTTCTTTATCCTCGTCGCGGTCAATGAGCTTATCAAACTCCTCGTCATCCTCGTCATCGTCTGTGAGGTCGTCGTCCGTCGCCATCTCTCCATCCCAACCCGAGAACCCGGACTGTCTCTGGAGAGGGCTGTTCTTCTTTGGGGGTAGCGCCGGCGGATCTTCATTCTCATCCAAAGCACTCAGCAGTTGAAGCGCCGATGGCATCGTTTTGGGCTTGGCGGGAGGCTGTAAGCTGCTTGTCCGCTGGGGTGGAGGGGGAGGGACTCCTTCAGAGCAATTCTAAGGGTTAAGTGAAAGGAGAAAAAAAAAACAAAACAGTTCAGTATTTTTTAAAGTCTGTAATTGAGAATAATTTCTGGGTGAAAAAGAAAAACTAGAGTTAAGAGAATACAGTCGAACCTGCAATGATGGCCACCTCTCCGAACGCCCACTTTCCATTCCCCCCTTGCGTTTTTTTGTATATAATTTCACTATATGTGTCACGACGCGGGAACATCAGGCGCTCGTCAATTTTTAGGCATGTAGAGTTACTGGTATATCTGAGAGCTAACTTGTTTGTCTTGCTTTCAATGAAATAAATATCCATCTGTCTTTAATAGAAGTCGTAATGTTAAGTCCTTTTCTCCTCACAACATAAAGAAAGACAATCATACTTGTGTCTGAAGACTTTCTAATCCACTGCCTTTCAGGATAGCCTGAGCTCCTTGGATGATGGCCAGATACGAGAACCGGAGCTGATCTGCTGTCTGGATTAAGCCCATGCGAAAAGAACGCATGCGAATAAGGCTTTCCCTCACATTGATGTTGTCCATGGTGCCTTCTTTCTCCACCTGTACCAGAAAAAAATATTCCAGAAATTGAAAAAGCAAAAGTGAAAAGACAGGGAACTAGATAGGCTCACCTATAAAGATATTCAACACAGTGGAGATACAACAGCTTGTAATCCTCTTCCAGGTCTAAAGTGAAGTTACAACCATACCAAGGACAAAAAAAGAGGATAAAAGACTTACACTGTATCAAAGTAATACGTGTAATTAAGAGAGGGTATACCATCAGAAGACTCCACACAAATGAACAATGACAGCTGTACATTATTGACATCTTTTTCCTTGAAACAGAATTTCGTTTTTAACAAATCATCTTTCAGGGATATTCTGTATCACTCTCCTTGTGCACAAGTCTTTCCGGATCAATTTCTGAACTGGAAACAAAGCATTTCATTATAGTTTCAAAACGAGGGATTGTGAAGTCAATTTTCAAGCTACTGGCATAAATTGGGTATCACTGGAAAGAATTGAATCTAAATCAATGAAAGTAACTCCTAGCCTGCAAGGAGGAGGACGAAACTATGGACCATGCGTTCCTGAGATGTCTCGCCAGCTATCGTGCTAGAACCCGTCTGCTGGGACATTTCGGTAACCCACTTTCAGCACTTTTTAGGGACCCCCGGGCGTGTGTTGAATTCCTGCGGGCTGTCGGCATCGCTGACCGTTTATTAAGCCACAGCGCCAGGAGAGAGAGAGAGAGAGAGAAGTAACTCCTAGACTGAAGTCTACGTCTAAAGAACAAAAACTGACTGATCCTGTTTTGGTGACAGGTCTAATTCTATGTCCAGTTTGAGGGGTAGTAATCACAATTCGTCCCTCAAAACATGTACTAGCGTAAGCCACATTTTGTTAGTTTTGCAGGAGAGACGTTTAAAGATTTGGGCGATTTTCACCATCCCATTGTGGCGTCAAATAGCCGACCCTGCCCTTAATAATTTGACATAACATGTGTGGGCCAACTACTTTTCAATTGGCTAAGAGCATCTTTGTGAGATTAGTAGGTTTTGAAGGAAAAATGACCTTTTTGTCCGATACGCTAGTACGTGCTACGTCAATGAAAGCCTCAATGTGTGGCTTACGTTACTAGATTGTTGGATACGTTAGTACGTGCTTTTGTATTCTAAAGCATAATGCGTTCATTGCGTGGCTTACGCCTAAATGGTAACTTCCAAATAACAATAAAAATACAAAGAAAGATCGATTTGGTTTAAAATTCACGGGCTGCGTTATCTGTAACAAATGACAATGTTAACAACAACTCGAAATATACAGACGCCAACTGTACATGATAAAAAAATCAACTTAAAATTAAATAATCACTGCAACTATCTACTGCTTAAACAAACGTTTCATTATGGATTATTCTTTTGTGAAACACTATCCTGTTTAATATGGGAAGAGTACTTTACTAAAAACAAAACAAGCTACAAAAAACTTGAGCTAGTATGGTGCTCACTAAATTTTCAAATTTGCAAAAACAAATAATATAGAATTCAGGGAACATTTCTACTAGAGTTAGAGCTCCACTTAGGCTTATTGGGAACATGATCTTGCTGTAGAGATGTAAATTCAATGACATTTCAAAGACTAATAAGCAGTAACTCAGAAATAGAGTAGAAAATGTGAAATTAAATACATTTTGTGTCATAACTTGACTGCCAAATACTTAAGCTGGAGTTGCACCTTAGCGAGAAAAGTAGAATAGCTTCGCCCCAAAGGAGATCTTCACAGCCAACTACTCATGGGGCAAGGAAAGATAACAAGCTTTGTGCTCTTCCAGTTTAATTACTGGTGTGGGACCAGAACAGAGTGAAACCAAATCAGTGAATTTTTCTCTCGAAATGTTTGTTGGCCCTGAGTTCAGTTTCTGAAGTGCACAGTCCTTTACACTATTCTTCAGTCTCTTGAGGGACAGGGTTTTGAATGAACTGTCAAAGTGGCTCGACTTGTAGAAGACTTTATCTGGCTGTTCTTTAGTGACTCGCAGTTCCATGATATTGTTCCACGAAAATGTGTCTTCCGTATCAGATCCTCTTCGTGCGTCCAGGATTCTCAAGTCCTTTGATAAGCCTTTGAGATCCCGAAAGTCTTTAGACTGCATCTGATTCACCAGGTGAGGCTTTTGAGGTCCAGCGAGAGACTTCACTGTTGCTACCTGAGAAGGAAGGAACAAATCCCCAGCCCTCTTCAGGGCATGTCCTATTGCACTGTGTACAGAATCACCCTCGTTCTGACCATGGTTTGTTTCAAAGAGCCTCAATGAAATCTCTTCAAGATTCACACTATTGTTCACAGTATACAACAATATCGAAGGCGCAATCGAATTTTTGTTCTGACCACTGCATCCATCGGCAAAAAGAAAAACTTTTTTGATGCCACGGTCGTCGTAAAATGTCAGGGCAAGGTGGAGTGTAGTTGAAATTTCCGAGGGTTCACGTTTGTTTTGCGTTTCATCGTAAGTGAAGCAGTGACAATTTCTTTTAGCAATATTATAGAAAGTCGGGTTGTAGTTCGACAATCTCCTTTTGTAAAAGATGGCGCTCTCCTGAGTCATAGGGAAGTAAATGACCTGCTGCAAATCAAAACTTGCACACAGAATGTTTTCACTTTCCGGAGCTTCTTTCTTGCATACATCCTTTATTTCCCTGACCTTTTCTTTTTCTCCCACATGGATCTCAAATTTTCCCCTAAGACCTATCTTTGTTTCTTCATTTTCTTGATGATAATTGACACAAAGAGAGCACTGGTCCTTCTTGGGCCGGTGGATTGACAGATTTGTACTTTTGAATACATCGTTTTATGTAGTGAAGCTTGATGGCCTTGTCCTTGGTATCCATTCCTGGATGAACATGTGGTACATGCTTGTGAACTCTTGTCCCAAATTCCTCTTCATTTTGGCTTCCTTCTGTTTGTTTGATCTGAGTTTCTTTTCCTTTCTGACTTCTTTCTCACTTCCCTCCACTGTGTACTGCTCAGGAACTGATCTTTGCATTCTTCCTCCCCCCTCATCAATGACTGTTTCCTTTGTCTGAAACTGATCGGGAGTATCAGTGTTCATATTTACACCAGCGGGAATCTTAGACTGTGAGGGCCTACCTACAACTTTTACATGTTGTTGATTTTTTCCTTTGACCTTCTCATGCTTTTTTATGTTGAACTCACGATGCAATCTCTTCATTGAAATGATCAAAGCAAAGAAGGATTTCAAAATCAGGACAAGCCGTCCATACTTCAGCATTGCACCTTTTGACCTCGCATGTTCCAGGATTGAATTCTGGGTCGCCATCTGAGTCGTAGCCACACTGACATTTCATCACTGTCTGCCTCACTAAGCATATCAGTGTCCTTGAAGCACATACGTGCATCTATTTATCCCTTAAAGTTCTCAGTGGCGGAAGGACACCCATGACTTATACAGTCTGTAAGCTTAAGACTTCACCAGGGATCTGAATGTCAATCAGAGTTTGAACAGTAGGGCTACATGTCAAAGAAAGAGTGGTTTTTAATTGCCGGATCCCATTTGTAAACAAAGGACGAGTAAAAAGGGACTTCAAGAAGTGGAGTCGGAGCATTCACTACCTCACATGAAGCACACTGCTCACGTGTGTAGTTTAGCTTGTCTTCCCGCTCTCTAGAAATGCTGTGTGATGTTTTGTTGCCATAGGCTCAGCCCCGGCTGTGTGGCTTACGTTAGTATGTGCCGTATAATAAAAACACAACAAAGGGTCAAAGTGTATGTCACGTACTAGTGTAACCAACAGTGTGTTAGTACGTGCTGTATCTTTTGTGGGCAAGTGGGATACGTTCAAACTGGAATCGACTATATCTCAGCTATTTATTGCTCGATTCCTACGATCTTTTGAGAGTATGTAGTATCGGATAAAGGGAATCGCGTGGTTGCTATAACTCGATTTCGGGTCAGATGTGGCTTACGTTAGTACGTGTTTAGAGGGACGAATTATCACATCAATTGTTTCTTCCTCTAGAGTCGAAGGGAGATAACCAAAATATTCAGATACATTATTATGACTGAACTTCATTATTGGGAGTAGCAACCCTTAGAGCCTTCCCTTTTCTTGAGTTCGATTGCGATTATACTGAACACAAAAAAACGCTCTCCGCAAAGAAAGGTTGAGCAGCCCAAAGCACGCTTACGTGTGTTCTGCAATGAATGGTAAGGCAGCCTAATGCATTGTGAGAGAAACAAAAAGCCATAGATGTCTTAGGGAGGGGTGGGGGAGTGTATTATTTTTTTTTTAAAATTATAGTAGAGGGTTTTACGGTGCTCGCAACTGCATAAGGTCATAGGAGCGCCAAGGGGCGGGTGTCAACAGAGAAATCTTTACAAGGAATCAGACTTACTCTGCTCGCCTTTCTAGCTTCAACAGCACAAGGTCTGCTTCGACTATCGCGGCACAATAAAGGGTGTCAGCAAGTTGAAGAACAGACAACGTATGGATAAAAATACAGATAGCATACCATAACGAGACAGGAGTCCACCAGGCAAAATGTGCCCGATCGGCCGATACCAGCACTGCAGTGGACGATAGCAGGGCCCACATCCGGTGCCAGGGAGTTGGTCTGGCGCACAGAGTGGAGGAAGTGCAGGAAGGCGTCGGGAGAGGACGGAACTCCAAAGTCTGGCCACGTGGTGTAGTGGAAGTGAAGAACCTCCCGTTTCTCACCTGACTGTGAACAATATATTGAATTGTCTGTTTGATTAAAGAAAAGCACATTGACACAATAACTATCATTAAGTTTTCGTTTCAGTTTGTGACAGTACTGTAGTACACTAGGCATGGGACAGGAGTACTGTGACAGTACACTACAAACCTTCAAGCCCACAAACAGGTTCAATTTTTTTTAACCAGTCAAAAGTGGCTTCTGGAGGAGCCAACATGTACCTTTTAAAACAAACAAAACACAGGCGGAAATGCGGTTAACTGATTTTCTCGATAAGAGTAGGCTTCGGCCGCCACCTGGGCAAAATTCAACATTTCCTACCAACTGAAAATATTAGATGTGTCCCGCGCACTCATATGACCTTATGCAGTTGCGAGCGCCGTTAAACACTTTACAAAAAACTAACTGATTTTCACCTAAAGCATAAGTTAACCAAGATGACAGTTTTTTACATCATGCCTTTCAAAAATAGACCCCCCCAAAAAAAATCAAATCCAAAAAAAATTGGCTGATGAAACAATGTCTAACTCCAACCACGCTACAAACAGAAAAACAGCTGACAAACCTCCATGTGCTCCAGCTCTAAAGACCTGAGGCTAAAATGCTGGAAGTCTTGCTCAGTGATGAGAGTCACTCTCAGGCCGCACTCGGGGAAGTACATCTCGTCCTCGTACCCGTAGTTTGAGCCTAAGGGCCAGTACTGAGCACACTTGAGCTGCAAAGAGCAAGCAACATCACAGGTAAGGCAACACAGGTCAAAGTTAAAGCTAAAAGTTACCTGAAGCTTAATTGCTCACTTTTAAGGACAAGCGGGCGAACCCAGATTTCGGGGGTTTCCAGAAATCTTGACCTACACCAAAGTGGGCATTGCCCTACCTATAGGAGAAGTTTGGTTTCATTGGTGTGTATATTTGTTCGGTTATAGAGAAAACTCTCCTTGTCTATTAGAGAAACTGAACTGAAAAGGGGCAAAAACTTTACCTTCGATTTTCTCAAAACAGCATTTTTCAAGATAGCCCCCTAGAGCTTAAAAGCGACCAATTCTATATAAAAATCACAATACATCACAAAGACCAACAAACTTGGTGAACAAATTCACTCTTTCTGTGAGTGAGTAACACAAAAAAAAGGAGGAGATATAAGGATCACAGACGTTTGATATGAAACAAGGGGCAAACCACACAAGCGCCAGCCAACAACCCATAATAAAAAGAAGGATCTGTAAAGGACAATAGGTTGTCACCAAGAGGGAGACTAAAGCTTGCAAGGTTTCATTTCCAAGAAACTTAGGTAAACAAATTAAAATTTTGAAAGAAAGCTACAAAAAAGAGTCTTCCACATTATTTTGAAGTTCTCACTGCTTTTACAACTCTTTCTTAACCCTTAGTTACACACAACTATAGATAGTGTCAGATTCATTGTATGCAAAAACTGTGCTTTTCATCGAACTGTTAATATCGAAATGTTCCAATCCATCGTCCAGGTTTTCTTTCAATCAGGGAAATTCCTCATCATAAAGCCACCATGTCACTTTGCCATGGCAGTGGTTCGCTTGCACTTTATGTGCTGCTACTCAGCAAAACAAAGGAAAAGACTGGTTTTTAAAGCGAAGTATTTTCACCCACACAAATTTTTTTTTTTTTGGGGGGGGGGGGGGGGGGGGGGGAGGAGTGCTTGTGATCTATTCAAATTTGACAGCGAGGAGAAAATGTTCTTCTCTAAAAATGTTATCCTTTCACCTCCTTTCTTGTTTTTGACCATCAATGATTTATTTATAGGAGGCACCAGCCATCCATGTCCAGGTGCTGTTTTAGCCTTTTTTGTTCTCTAGAACATTTTCTGTCATCTGCTTTCACCTCGGCTTTCTTTATCTGTCGTCTGCTTTCATCTCGACTTTCTTTCCTCCCCTGCACCCCCAACTTTGTCCAACCCCAGCCTTCGGTCTACTCTCTCTTTTACTCCCGACTCTTTTTACAAGTATTGTTCCAGGCTCCTTTTTATTGTTGCCTTTTGTCCAAACCCTTGACCTTTGGGTAGATAAGATCGAACACCTAGCCTTCTCGTAAAAGGGCAAGTTGCACATGTTAAAGATTCCTTGATGGTCCTAAAATCAATAAGAATAGGCTTCAAAATCAATTCCTACCAAAACTGAAAATACTCTAGACAGTATAAATACATAGAGTACCTTCGAAATCAGACTGGTTGTCTGCTGAAGACTAGGGACCCTACAAAGTAGTAAAAACTGCCACACAGGGACAGTAGTACTGCAGGTTGAAGAACCAGCAGTCAACTACCTCTGAGATCAAGCAAGGGAATGCACAGAAGAAGAAGAAGAAGAAGAAGAAGAAGACGACCCACACAACCCTCCTTTCAGCGGTGGGCATCGTAAGCTGCCCCAGACAGCTGACAGGTCTCATGCTTTTTATAGAACTCTCTCTATTTTTCTAATCACACTTAGTTTTTCATTGTCTAATTTTTTATTTTTAATAACGCAAGTCCATCATACGCCCTATCTTTTAATGATTTATTATTGTAGTCCTCAGATTTAATTTTCCACAGACATTCGTGGGACATACATGTACATTTTTTAGTTTAATTAAGAGTTTTACCGCACTTACAACACAGTAAGGTCGTACAAGTGCTGAAGATAGAGGTGTTACAAGAGAGTAACAAACACCCACCTGTCCATTTTAATAATTAGCAGAACAATGAACAATGTCTATAGAAAAAGGAGGCCATAATATACGTGTACTGTGTTGAGTATAGAAGGTTTGACTTGACTGCAAATGCGCAACGCACTCAGACACTCAGTGATCTAGATACACAAATTCCCCGTTGATGTTCAATTAAAAAATAAAATTGCTAAAAAGTGTACTCATAATATCACATCAAATCAGGTCACCCGCAAGCTACTTTACTTATTTTGATAAACTGATTCCGAATATAATGAAATCAGTTTTTTCAGCTACGATAGTTGTTTTTAAAATTTTGCGCCATAAGTTGTACCTTGCATGGCAGCAAATTTTAATTTTAAAGTAATTCTACATCATAGTAAGTCTCCCCAAAATCCTATCAAGATCGGACAAAAAAATATCAAGTAGCGTTTGATTTCATAACCGGGCCTCCACACCATTGTCCAAATTTTGTACCATTCTGCGGTTACACACAGTGATTTGTTGTATCATCTATAGATCGTCCAGCTCTAATACAATTTATCGTTACGTGTAACCGGGCCATTAAATGCAAATTTCAACTTTCATGTTCCCCCTGCTCCCTAAAAGACATAGAAATGTAAGTCTCGGTGTCCCTCCCAAATTTCTAAAGTGTAAGAAAATGTTCAAGATCTGTTTAACGATATCAAACCTCAAAACCACTATACTATAGTTCAGAGCAGTCCTTTTGTTCTACATTTGAAGGCTTCCTTAATAAAACAAAAACAGCAGGATTTACAAACAGATTTGAAATGCGGAGGCCAAGTTGCCATACAATTAAACGTATTTTTCAAAACAGGTTGCTCAAATGTTTCTTTCAACAGGTATCCATGCATATCTTACTGCGCCCTTTTCAATGACTCTGTTCAGCATGACAACAGCTTTGGTGTTCTGTTCCCATGTCATCTGCCAGAAGTCACACATGGTATGCTCCAAAGGACCCTGGAGGAAAATGGACAAAAAAAAGAAATGAACAGGTACAGAAGTAACAGACATTCATCAATGCTATATCTGTAAGGAGTAGTGTTATAGTAGCTTATAGAAGGCTGTGTAATTTATGACAGCATGTTTTCCTAATTTACACATAAGTTACACAAGTAAATACTTTAATTCAGTCCTGGGTCTCAACTCAGAATTTTTAAAAAGGAGGAACTTTCCAAGTGATCGCGACCAAAGACAATTTTCGTGAGACACACCATTATTATTATATTATTCAACCCTAGAATGCTGAAATAAAAAACATCAATTTTTCAAAGCAAGGTTATTTCATACCAATCTGAGGGTTTGGAAGATAATTTCAAGTAACAGAGTAACTTACCAAATATTTACAATCTCGATTAAGTACAGAAAGAGGTGGCGCATTACTGAAAGGTGCCCCTCCCAACAACTCTCTTTCTGATTCACCCACTGTCGCAGTAGCAGAGTTTAGAGGAGGAAATGCCGGAAGCGGAAATCCACTAAATAGCGGAATATTGAGACCCATGAACAGTCTACAAAAAATATCATACAATAAATGGTATTATATTAAACAATTTAAAGTGGACAGCACTCCATATGCCATATGTGAGTCAGCGTGGTGGAATCAGGCTCTCGTCAAAATAATCAAAATAAAGAAACTTACATTTTTCTGCAAGTTTATGAATTTTTATCAAATTTTTGTTTTTTGGCTCAACACCTTTCATGCCCATTAAAGAACTCATTTTTGAGTGGATTTTCCTGAAAAGCGTTGATTAAAGGCACAAAAATGAAATTTTTTCAGTTACCACGGACTCTTAAGCTAAGGAAATAACTAATCTTTGGCGGCCATTTCTCACTCAATAACTAATCTTTGGCGGCCATTTCTCACTAATTTTACCTCTGAAAACAGGTGACCCCCACCTCCTTCTTTCGCAAATATCTCAACCTGTATTCAAGATAAATGGATATGTTTTTTTCATCCAAATAAAGACAAGTGAAAAAGCTTTAAGATGATACCAATAACTCTACTCGTCCAAAAATTGACGAGAGCCTGATTCCACCACGCTGCCTCACATATTACAAAAGAATGCAGTGACTGACCCCTAATTCGGGCAAAACTAAACACACATCAGGCTTGATAGTTAGCATGGGTCACACTCGTTCCTGAAAAGAGGATCTATTTTAACAATTTACAACTTAACCCACTCTGGTATTAATCCACTATCATTTACACCACAGCCTTCAAGGAGGTAATGGAAAGACTTTCAAGATATGACCTATGCACAGTAACAGTAAGTGACAATGAAAAGAAGTAAAAGGAACTGCTGAGTGCTCACGACAGGACATCATCTATTTTAGGACCACAAAAGGATCTTTAACATGCAACTTGCAAACAGGACCTCCAAGATTTTTTTCCCCCTTAATTCAAGAAGGCTAGGTGTTCAATCTTTAATTCTTACCTACCCTAAGACTAGGGTTATGGTTGAAAGAACATCGCACTTTGACAGGGTCTTTTGTCTTTCAAAACATTGTCTATTGATGACAATGTCAGTTTTTTAAATGCACAAACACACACTAAGGTTGATTTTTAAGAATTTGTCAAGTTCTGCATTTTACTTAATTTTGGTTGAAATTTTCAAGACTGGTCATTTTTCAAACACATTAGTTGACTTTTTTTCAATGACAAATTTGACTTCTCCTTGTTGAATAAGCTGACAAAGTCATTGATCTCTACACAGGTCCAGTTTTTAGACACCCCATACAAGGTGAGAGGCGAAAGCCTACCTGAGTGAGAATGTACTGCCTGCTGGCGTCTGGCACTTTTAGTAAACTAGCATTGATGTAGTTATTATCCCCACTGAGGACAACTCTGCTGTGATCATCTGAAGACATTTCAAAGCAGTTTTAGTTAAAACAATGAACAACACAAAAACAAATAATACATAAATAAATCTTTTGCCATAATAAGGCCTTATTACGTTTTTTCCTCTTGCACTGCCATTGCAGTAGTGGATGTACACATTTACATCTCATATAGACGTGCTCGCACCAATTGAAGAGTCAAATGGTCGCTTCTAAGCACAAGGGGGCTATATCTATCCCGAAAAATGCTGTTTTGAGAAAATCGAAGGTAAAGTTTTTGCCCCTTGTTCAGTTTCTTTAAAAGATAAGGAGAGTTTTCTCTATAACCAATCAAATATACACACCAAAGAAACCAAACCTCTCTTATAGGTAGGGCAATGCTCACTTTTGGTGTAAATCAAGATTTCCGGAAACCCCCAAAATCTGGGTTAGCCCGCTTGTCCTTAAAAACGACCAAATAGTCAAAGGCCTCTCCTGCCTTATTGTAGGTGACCCAAAATCAACACAGTATTCAAAATCATTTGAAATTGATCAGGTGACTGCTTAGGGCTGTGTGTGTGTGTGGGGGGGGGGGGGGGGGGGGGGATATTCAATACTTCAATAATCAATATTTCAAGAGAAGAATCCATGATATGCACTGGCAAGCAGTATAGATGGAAAGATGAGAGTTTGCTTTTCATTTAGGTCAGTGTGATTCTCAGTCAGTGCAAGTTCTTTTTACAAAAGCTGGTCCAACACATCCGGGATGTTGAAAAAAGAAAAGAAAATGTTTCTCTTTAGAAATAAACCTACATTTCATTACAGAAGTCAAAAATGGGAAAATGAAAAAAGCCAACACACAGAAACAGAGTTGAACTCTCACAAATTTAGGACAGACACAACAGTTGCAAGGAACCTGAAATGCACACGTTTGTCAGACATTTCTTTAACTGGGACAGTTACCACATAGGCTGCTATTATCATCATGATAATTTTTAGAAAGACAATGGCAGTGACAAATGTGACACTCAAATCAACATCACAGTCACTGATACATGAACATGTTGAATGTTGAAAAATAGTCGTGCTAAGAGTGTGACCAAAAAAAAAGTAAATATCTTCATTCAAAACCTAAGAGGTTTCATACATTAATACACTTCACATCTCTGTTTGGAGATATGGATGGTGCCATCTTTACTTTTTTTTTAAGTTAATAGTTTGCTTAAAATGTAGAGATAGAAAAGGAAGTAAAACTTCAGAGAGACACTTAGAATGTTATTAGCCTCAACCCCTCCCAACAGAAAACACAAACACAAATTTATATCTGTGTCAGTACAATTTTTAAGCAATCTTTGGGAAAGGAGGTGACAATCACTTCGTAACAACCAGTACTTACATGGACTCACATCCCGATATCTATTTTTCCGTCGATTATCTGGATCACGAGCAAGCTTCGTTGAAAATTCATCCCCTAATGTGGTGAGGGAAGCTTCATTTTTTAATCTCTGTAACAAGAAAGAGAATCAATTCAATTGCAGACCTCTGTCAAGTGTCATAAGGTCGTACATCACTATTTCATGTTTCATGCAAAATGAAATTATTTGTCGCGCAGATTTGCAAATACCTGTCTCCTCTGTCTTGGAAAAATATTCCCATAACTTCACCACTTCATGCCACTTCCATTGATACAGACAATAGGTTTTCAGACACAAACTGCCTCAATTCCTCCAATTCAGAATAATGTTGGGAGCTTGAAGAAACGTGTTCACCACTAGCCTAGTGACGTGAGTTCATAAGAAAGAGTGAGCATAAGAAGAAGTCACATTTTCACTGTTTACAAAAAAGGAAATATGACAAGAAAGCACTGAGGTCGCGAAATATCAGTTAAATTTATCAAAAATTGCAACAAAAAATTTAAGTTAACATCAAGCTATACTATCAAGACTAGACAGGATTTTAGAAACAAAATCAATTTTGTTCGTTTAAAGAAACAGAACTATTACTTTTAAAAGCAAATGGACGACCTCCCAATCAAAAGAATAAAGTTACGTTGGACAATTTTTATCATAGATAAAATATAATGAAAGGTAGACATACTGGGCCTTATTTTTATAAATACTATGGTATCTCAAAATCTGCGCCTACAAATACATTGTTATTCATTTGTAATAGATCGGCGCCGTGACGCCGAGAATAGCTTCCGATCTATTGACCGGCGCGACGCTAGAGAATAGTCACTTGCTAATTACATATAAAAAACATTTCAAAGCATATTTTTTGTACTTTCTTAGAGGAGAATATGGCAGATTACAAGGCCGTCATACTATAAAATACATCTAGAAGTAGAATCTAACAATAGTTGGGCCTTATGTTGCAATTGTTGACAGAAAGAATTTTTCCCTGCCATGCCCTGTCCCCATTCAGATCTCTACAATTTTTTTGAACATTAATTAAGCACACTCTAATTAACGCGGTCTACCATTCTAAACTGAATGTAGAATCTAGTAGTTGTAAAATATTGTGTAACTGTTTGGTTCAGGGGTTTAGGGTAGGGGTAGGGTAGGGGTAAAGGCTAGGCAGTCTATGGAGGGGTAAGGGTAAGGTATTGTAGGGTTACGGATCTAGGCCTAGATCAAGGTTTCTTCTTTCGGAGTGTCTACGTACACGGTAACCGGCAACAGGGCACGTAGTCTCAGTGTCACGTACGGTAACCGGTAACAGGGCACGAAATCTCAGTGTCACGTACACGGTAAACGGGCATGTAGCCTCAATATCTACGTACACGGTTTAAAATAAACCGGCAACAGGGCACATAGTCTCAGAGTCACGTACACGGTAACCAGGCATGTAGCCTCAATTCTACGTACACTGTAACTGGCAACCGGACACGTAGTCTCAGTGTCATGTACACGATAACTGGGCAAGCCCCAATATCTACGTACAGTAACTGGGCATTAGCCTCAATATCTACGTACACAGTAACCAGCAACCGGGTGCATCATGTAGTCTCAGTGTCACATACAGAGTAACCGGGCAGTTCAGAACTCCAAGTTCAGTTTTTGTCATCCGATGTTGCTTTCATCCCCATCCCTGCCCCGACTGTACCTTAAAAAAAATCAATAAACCCCCCCATTCCCGAGCGGTATACTTCGCAGCGCAGCGCACACATTTTGAATGAACTTTGGTGACCCCAACCGGTACTCACAATGTGATGCACACTAGCAGGTGCGAGCCCCACAATACACTTATGTATATATATGACTTTCTTTTTCGTTTTTCAGCAAGTGACCACACAAGACAAATATATTGATTTATTTTCATTCCGGTTACCATGTACGTAGATACTGAGACTAGGTGCCTGGTTACCATGTATGTACACTGAGTCTAGTTGAGACTAAGTGCCTGGTTACTGTGTACGTAAATATACTGAGACTAGTGACTAGGTGCTCGGTTACAGCGTACGTAGACACTCCGTTCTTCTTTTTGTATTTGTTGGCGAAGTGGCTATTCGGACTCGAGTCTGAACAGCCGCTGGAGGCTATTCGGACTCAAATTCCAGTGCGCATGCGCAATCACTGGTTGACGTGGTTGTACCGTACTTTATTTTGTCTCCGGCAAGGTCTAGACTCGAGTCCGAATAGTCTCCCGATGCTTTTCGGACTTTAAACTACTGGAAGGCTATTACACTGCGTTTCGCGACTCCTACTGACAAAAAGGGACCAAAACATAAAATTCATAATCAGCCCCCCCCCCCCCCCCCCCCCCTTCTCTATGAGCTCTCTCACTCTCTTACTTTTCCTCTCCCTCTTTCTGTTACTTCCTCTCTCCATCTTACTTGGATTCCCCAAGCCCGCCCCACCACCTTCATCCCTTTTTTTAAAAATCAAAGTGTATACAGACCCGGTAACTGGGAACAAAGTCACGAAGTATAAGACCCGGTAGGGCAACTCTTTTGTGATTTCGGAAAGTTTCAGCGCCCTCTTGACTCAGGTGGGTAGACTTAGGTTCTTCTAGATCTATGGCCTAGGTCTAGATCTAGACAGACAGACACAAATTATTGATCTAGTTTCGAGGCTAGCCTAGATCTAGATCTAAATGAAGATTGCGGATGTCTTTTCGATGAACGGTCGTTTTTCCTCCGTTTCGGAGTAATCACAATTTGAAGAATAGAAACAATGCATTATTTCAATCGAGCAGTGACCCTCTCTGCCTCTCTATTTCTCTGCCTCTCTCTCTCTACTCTCTCCTCTGCGTATCGCTCGCCTTCTCTTTTTTCTTTGTTTGTGACCCAGTTTAGTCTCTGTCTTTCTCTCTTCCCACCTATTTCCCACTCTATCTTTCTCTCGTTCCCTCCTGCCAACTGGGGCAATGTCATATTTTGCTAGCACTTCTCTCTCTCTCTCTCTCTCTCTCACACACACACACACACACATACACACAAGTAAACACAATACCGCGTCTCCCTTTTTTTATCATGGGTCTCAACTCAGAATTCCAAAAAAGGAGGAACTTTCCAGGAGATCGCCACAGAAGCCCATTTTCGCGAAACACCCATTATTATTACGAAGTGACTATTTCTCCGAACGTTCGGAGAAATAGTGCCGATCTTTATTTCTCCGAACGGTTTCCGGCTTCCGCTCTGGTCGTGATTGTTTGCCTATTTGCGAGAGTTCGGCGCCAACTTTCATTCCGTCATTCTGCGAGGTCTGGGAAGGAGCAAATCAAAGGTGGTATCTGTTCTCAGCTTCTCCTCCGGCCGTGTGCCCACTGGTTTAGCGAGGCGGGTACTGCCTGAGGCACCCGAGAGACGGAGAAATCTGACCCTCTTTTCTTTTGAGTGGACGGTTATCGTCCATTAAAAAAAAAAACGGAGCAAATTTTTGGGTTTAAAGATCTATTTCAATTTTCAAGAGCTAGATCTAGTCTAGAGATTTTTAGATGAGTGTAAAAACGTGAAAAAGAAAGGTTTCACAACAGAATGAAATCAAAACTAGAACAGCCCAGAAACAACCACAACAATTAACAAATAAGGGCGTGTGTCCACCTGTCCGAAGAATATTGACCGTTTTAACCCTAAATGTGCGTAATTTGTTTAAAAAAGTACAGGATATTGCATGGAAATTATGGAACCACACACAGGGGGCCTGCCAGTGTCAGTACCTGTACTTGGTTTTGGTGGAACGCTCTAACATAGCACATTTAAATCTATACAGGTATATATATTTAGAATCTAATGAAGGTAGGAACATCAAATTAAATGACGTTACACAATACCTTTTGTATGAACATCAAATTAAATGACGTTACACTATACAACCCCCCCCCCCCCCTTTTCCCCAACAAAAAAAAAAATTAATAGAAAAACAACACATCAGAACAATAACAAGAAAAAAAAATACACACCAACAAAATATAACACCACAAAGAGGGAAAAATGAACGAAAAATAAAAGAGGAACAGCAATACAAATCGTATGTAACTGTAACGTATTCAACAAATCAACGTGGTGACAACAAGTGAGAAAGAGACGAAGTGAAGCTAAGTGAACTTTCTTTCAAAAGTAAAGAGTTTCATTTTCTTTTTTTTTTTTTGACTTTTTCGGGGACCAAAAAATCGAGCCACGATTGATTGGTCGCGGCCTCGACAAACGCAGATGCTAGCTCTATGTGTCGTTATCAATAACCCTCCATAGATCTAGATCTAGACAGCTCACGAGTGAACGCAACACATTAAGTTTAAGAGCAGCACCCTTCATAGGCCACACGTCATATCTGTAGCGAAAAACTGTTTGGAACTGTAGCATATATAAATACGGACATTTTTTGGACCGATTGAACCATATTGTATACGAACAATCTTTGGTAGGCCTATAATATAATTATAGATCTATATTTTATTTTTATTATCCGAAATATGCGGGAAAGGGTGTGATTTCAGAGTGTTCGGAGAAATAGTGCCCAGCTTTATTTTCCCGAACGTTCGGAGAAATAGTGCCGGCCTTATTATTATACTGTTGAACCCTAGAATGCTGAAATAAAAACCATCAATTTATCACAGCAAGGTTATTTCACACTAATTTGAGAGTTTGGAAGATAATTTCAAGTAAGAGTCACGTACCAAATATTTACAATCTTGATTACGTACAGAAAGTGGTGGCGCCTGGGGTCTTGTGCGACTTATTAATATTTTCCCTTCATCATATTCGCCTGTATACATAAACTATATATATAGAAATGAATCTTGTTTTGAGCCTGGAACCAGAATATCGACTGTCATGATTCATATCATATATATATAGAGGCCAAATATAATAAACGTGAAAGACAAAAATAATGCTCAAACTCAAAGTACAGTAGAATAGCTCAAGTAGACCTATTCAGTGTGAGAGGTGTAAGAACTGTGGGAGGGTAAGAAGATGCAGTGATACTGAGAATCTGTGAATCTTGAACAGAAAGCTAAAATACAGAGATCTAATTTACTGTCACCAATCCAATGAAACGCGAACACTCAGGCCCCTAAGTTCCATAACTCGTTTACAAGTTATGACCGTTCCCGATTTCACAAGGCCTGCACCAACGCAGAGAGCTGAAGTAGTAATCAAAATTCTATACATTAAACATTTATTTTCAGTTTCAGTTTGTCTGTTTTTGTCCTCAGGTGTTGCGTCCAGCCCTCCCCCTATCCCCGAGTGCGTCTTTTTAAAAAATCAATAAAATCTCCCCCTATTCCTGAGTCCTGTACTTCGCAGCGCTCAGAATGCGCGCAGGTTCATTGACCGGTCACAATGGCAAGCCCGACAAGACGCTTATACAACTTTCTTTTCTTTTTTTTTTTTGTTGCCCGCACAAGTGACAGCACAGTGACGAATATTTATTTATTTTCATGGCGACACCCCGTTTGTAATGCCGAACCTGCATGTTACAATAAACGTTGTGTTATCAGACAATTACTGACAAATTTCTGGGTGGTAATGAAAGCGAAAGTAGATCCTGATTTTCTAGTCGAGCATTGGTGACACAATTCCGCTTGCCGCCAAAGCCACTAGTTCGCGTGAAACATACTCTCAGAGCCGAATTAATGTCACAATCATTTCGCGACCGGCAGAAATGAACTTAAAGACGTTATTGGATTTGGTTTTCAAATTTGAGATCTTTTATATGTATTTTCGCGGGTCTCGGCGATTTTTTAAAAATTCCCGGGGCCTGGCAGTCACCCTGCTCCCAACAACTCTCTTTCTGATTGGCCCGCTATCGCCTCAGCAGAGTTTTGCGGAGGAACTGGCGGTAGCGGAAATCCGCTAAATAGCGGACTATTGAGACCCATGTTTTATAGATCTATATTCCATGCCATACCGTTACCCACCGCCCGGCCCTACTTTTATTATTATGTTCGTTTTTTGTAAAGAAAAGACTAAAACCACAGTTCGCGCTGGGTCACCAGTTGGCGTCCATTTGTTGAAAGTTCCTTGGCCAGATTGTAGACCGAGGAACGCCAAGGTAGAACTGCTTTGCTTCACATTGTCATGTGGTATCTCCGTGTACACCTGCTAGTGATTGTGCACACACATTGAAGTTTGAGTCCGAATAGCCACAGACAGTCTGAATAGCCGCGGGAGGCTGTTCAGTTCGGACTCGAGTCCGAATAGCCGCGGCCATTTGTTGGGAGGATGGTCGCTCGTTATGAAAGTCCTTCCTCAGTCTTCCTGGTCTAGACCTAGATCTAGATCTAATCTAGATTATCTAGATTCTAATGATGGACTGCAATTTGCTGACTTGATTGAAGTTTGAGATTTGGGATCATCATGATCATAAAAGTCATTAAATTTAATCCATGATGTCTTGACAATCTGGAGTAGGAGGATAGAGATTTACTTTTACGTTACCTGATACACTTCATTCCAAACACTGTTTGAGTCGAATTCGGCGAATTCACGTTCTGTCGGAGAGGTCATTCTGGAAACTTAATAATTATGCTCTCATTTGAGGTTCTTTTTTTGCTTCTGGCCCTAAACGCCTCTGGCCATGGACACTCTAATGAACATTCTTTCAATAATGCCTCACTTGATGACCGGACGTTTTGAATGCTTTTTCTACTTCCGACCGAGGTGGTGTGGGATCGATTCCACAACAGTTGGAAAGTCGATTCATTTCATATTTTAGTATCGATACCAGACTGTTTCAGCATGGACCGTGTATATATGGTCTTTGGTTTCCGCTTCTCCGAAATTGTAATAATAATGATAGATCTAGGCCCAGGCCTAATAATAATGATATTATTATTTATTAGCCCATGGCATTTGCACAGGCCTGGCGCTCAACCCCGACTCTGAGCCTCTGGTCATGCCATACATAATTTCATTGGTACAGAGAGTTTATAATTATGAGTAAACTCTCTGATTGGTTAGAGTAGCCGGAAGTACGAAAGGGCGATAGTCACAGATAGAACAGTTAGCTCGTGGCAGGCAAGAAACAGGTTCTAGAAAACAAGTTATATTAATCATATAGATCGATTTTTGTAGAGGTTTCATCAGTATCCAACAAAAATTATGAAGGATAAGATTCTCGCCAGCCAGATAAAATCTAGCTATCTAGCTTTTACATTCGTTATAATTTATTTTATCACCTAACACATTGTTAATAAAAAAAAACAAAAGCAATTATAAGGCCTTTTACTTTTAAAGTTGTTCTTTTTTTATAGATAAATATTTTATCATTTTTCTAAATTTTCCTTCACTGACTAGATGAGATATTTCTAAAAAACAATCCAATGTTGTTGTTGTTCCCCCCCCCCCACCCCACCCCCCCCCCCCACCCCCTCGAATCAGCCCCATAAAATGCAATGGTTGGGCGTGCGTATTTGTGCGTGATGGTGTGATTTTATTTTTTTATTTTTTATTTTTATTTTATTTTATTTTTTATTTTTTTATTTATTTTTTTTTTGGGGGGGGGCACTTGGTTTCATTTACAATTTAACATTTCCTAATTGCACAGTTCCATTTTCAAAAAGCGAAAATAATGCACGTAATATAATAATACATTGTGCGTAGAAGTTATAAATACACCTGTCTTTTTTTATGATGTACATGTTCTGATAATATAATAACCTACTCCACAGACAGTGAGTAAAATTCGATCTATTTACGGGATCAGTCTCCAACTCTGTATTTCTATATGATACATCATGGTGGAATCAGGCGGTCGTCAAAATAATGAAATCGAAGAAACTGGCAATTTTTATCACATTTTTGGTTTGTTTTGTTGGTTTTTTTTGACTCAACACCTTTTATGTCCATATATAAAAACACATTTCCATGTGAATTTTACTGAAAATGTAAAGTTTCAGTTTTCAAGGACTCTCAAGCTGTAGAAGTTTCCAAACTTTGGCGGCCATTCTCTTGATAATTTTACCCCTGAAACCATGCTACCCTCACCTCCTTCAATCGCAAACATTTCGACTTCTATTCTAGATAAATGGGTGTGTGGGGGGGGGGGGGGGGGGGTTCATAGAAAGCTAAGCAAATGAATATGCTTTCTTCATATTGTACCAATTGTACCAATAACTCCACAAGCCCAAAAATTGACGAGCGCCTGATCCCACAATGTTGTGACATATGTTCTATTTTTGGAGATGGCGTGAAGCCTAGGCATTTTCTTCGGAGTGAATAGATGAACCCAATACAACACTCATCACTTAGAGCCATCACGTTGATATTCTGTCCTGGGCACTCTGGAGTGAAAGGCAATGAGGAGGCTGATAGGCTGGCAGGCAGTGCCGTGGTTGATGGTGAGGTGAAATTTGACAAAGGAGAAGTGTTGAAGACCCTGGAGAAAAAGTTGCGGGATGAAGAAGACAGGGAGACAGGAGAACACCACGCAATCATTAGGATGGGGGAAATTGGGATAGAGAGTGGAGAAGGAATAAAGGAACAATTATGTGGAAAGGAAAGACGTCGCCATAATCAGACAGTATGGATACCTTGCGGGCTTTGGTGCTGGGGGGAACTGAGCATTTATGGACCTGTCCGGTGTGCAATGGCGTTGTTGCCCAGGACATGTAATATAGGTAGTACAGCCTAGGCATTGAAGGGGCAGCTGTGGAGGAGGTAGGAGTAATAATAATAATAATAAATAATAAATAGCATTAGTATAGCACATGTCCCCACTCGAAACTAGGCTCTATATATGCGCTTTACAAATTACACTGCAGACCATAGAACTCTCAGAAACATTCTCAGCTTCCTGGGAATGATTCAGTGCAAGCAGCTGGTTAAGCGCTCAAACACTAACAAACTGACAAGATCTTTCACTGTCTATAGCTAAGTACCCATTCCCATCTGGGTGAAGTGGGGAAAATCCGTGTAAAGTGTCTTTCCCAAGGACACAATGTCGGGCCCGCGGCTCGAATCCCCGAACCCGCAGCCTCACGATTACGAGTCCGGTAGCCTAACCACTAGAGTAGGAAACAAACTGCAAAGGATGGTCACCGAGGACCAACCATAATCCTTCATAGCACTGCCCGCGCTACGTACGCCATCCTTTGTACACAGACGTGGCAGAGTGTGACTCCCCTTGAGAGAAAGCTCGCTCTCAGATTTGAAGCGCACTGCACATTTTGTGTGCGACATCGGACTGACTGTCTAGGCCTAGCTAACTGCTGTCATCGAGAACGAGGAAGAAGAATGAGCCCGAGGAAGAAGAAGAAGGTCACCGAGGTCGGGGAGGTCGTAATCGTAATAGTAAAAAGTAAACACTGTGAATAAAATAAAAGGTAAAAAGAGATCAATCTGCAGTGCAATCCGGGGACTCGGAGGTTTGGGGAGGTGGGGGAGGGGGGGGGGGCAAATAGCTTATATGAAATAGTGAACTGTGATAATTAAGGTTTTTTAAAAAGGGAGTAGGAGCTGTGTGTGTGTGTGTGTGTGTGTGTGTGTGTGTGTGTGTGTGTGTTGGGGGGGAGGGGGGAGATGTTATGCAGAAAAAGATGGTTGAGGTGAGGGGGGTGGAACTGAGGGGATGTGTTGACTCGTTTTGAAAGAGAGTAGGCTATAGGAGGTAGATCGTGGTTGACTGGGGAGCGAGGAAAGATGAATATAATATAATTTATGTAGTTACGCTTATTGGTGAAAATGGTTAATTAATGGTATAGGTTTGATGCCCATATCAACACTGTTAGGTTGTTTATGGGGCGGAACCTCCGAGTTTAGCGTCCATCTCCGAAAGGACCGAGCCAATGGGAAATTCGTGCAAAGCGTCTTTTTCCAAGGACACAACGTCGAACCGAGCTGAGTCTCAAAACCCCCGAACCCCCAATCTCACGATTACGGGTCCTGAAGCCTAGTGTGAAATATGAACAATGTCATTTCAAAGCGTAAATATCTAAGCATTCTTCTCGTCCGTAGCTTCAAAGTTGATGAAGCAGGCCAGTGGTAAGCAGTTAGGGGCGGGTGGCAATAGACGGCCATGCTGATCTGGACGCAACAGCACTGAGCAACCACCGAGTTGGTGTCCTAGGCCCGCAGTATCTTTTCGGAGACGTCTCCGACGGAGATATAGACCAATCAAATCAATGCTTTGTGCCTCTAGACAGAGTAAAAAAATCTTGGGGTGCTACAGGGGGGCATACCCCTTTCTTAACCCAAAATTTGATATTTTGCAGTTAGGTTTGAAATTTTCTTGAAAATAATTGATTGGCGACATTTTTAGTGGCTATGTGTGATCTGCAGCAATCAATGCGCAGTTTGACCCCCCAAAGCAGTAAAGCAGTGTGGGGGAGCCGCGTCTCCGAATAGTTTCTAGGTGATCGCCGGAGACGTCTCCGGTTATCTTCTACCATCTTGGCCAGGGCCCACAAGTCCTAGTCAGCTGGGACTGCGAGACTCCTGTGATACCTCCACCAGGCAGTATTCTGCCCTTCAACATGGATGGCATTTTGGCAGCCACCTGCACCTAGATATCAATCTGGTCGTCTTTTGTATTATCTTGCCGTCAGATGCACTTGGCCCTAAAAAAGAAAGTGGGTCTGATAATGTTTCCACTACTCTTTCTTACTTTAAACAATACTTTGTGCAAGTGAAACATTTGCTCGTGGGTGGTTGGCGGTTGCTCTGGTGTGGTTTGCTTCTTCTTTCGTATCAAACATATATCGTCTTTCTTTATCTCCCCTTCTTATTTTTATGTTTGTTACTCTCTCGTAACACCTCTGATCTTCTGGCGCTCATATGACCTTACGCAGTTGCAGGCGCGTAAAACCTCTGCTAAAAAGAACACCCCATCTGCTCTCATCTATCACTTCTCTTGTCTTAGTCGTCCACCCCCATCAAATTAATTTGGCGATGACTAGGTGCGGTGGCTGCCGGCTTGTAATTGTATGGATTGGGAGCTGTTGGCACAAACCTGAATAGTGAAAGTTAGGTTGCCATGGGCTTTAGTCGTTTCATTACCGGCCTTAGGTGAAGGTCTATTTTGGCAGCACTGAGGGTATCTGAGCCGCCTTTTGGGGACACTGCTGCTCACCCTACAATGAGAATTATGGGACAGAAGAGGATCCCTGGAGAAAGTTGAAATCTTATACGGAGCTCGTTTACTACAATTTGCGGTCGAAACAATGAAACATAGAATTAGAAAACTTTTTGCGGGAATATTCGAACACTTTAGGATACTGGCTCCAATATTGAAAGTTGGACAAAATCACTGCAATGGAGCTCAGCATTCATGACCTCAACATCGTTTCACCTAGTGAAGAGATCATAGTGGGTGCATTCACGCTCCGAGCGATAGTAGCTGTCGTCTCATATATTATAATTATTATTGAGTCTCTCTCGTCACATGTGGTGCAGAATTAAGACTATAAAGACTAATTATGAGAAAAGGCAACACGAGACTATACATGGAAAAAGAAAAAAAGAAGGCGTCCTCGGGGGAAACCAGGCACCTCCCAAAAGACTTTATAACTGTTATAAATAGATATCATATAAAGACTTTATAACTGTTATAAATAAATATCATGCCTGCCTGCCCACTGCTGTTGCCGATGACTGTGCACTGCAAGCACAATCCAGCATACAAAAGTTCTGAGTTGATATTGTATTGGATGCATGTGGGGAGCTTGAGATTCCCAATATAAGCACAGCAAAGACAGAAGCGTTTTTCTCTTGTTTTGTTTTCTCCAACATGTTCTTTTAGGGATATGGATCGTAAGAGTTTCTGATTTCAGAATTTTAAAAGTAGTATATTAATATTATTATATATTCTGTTCTGAGCTGTCAGTAGGGGAGCGTGAAGTTCATTGCGCGCAAAAAAACAACAAATAAATAAATAAATAAAAATCTACAGCAACAACAAAGCAAAAAAAAAAAAAAAAAGCCCAACAAAAAATTATAAAAAAATACAAAAATACAACAAAACAAAAGCAGCGCTTGATATCTTAGACACCCAAATAATTAAAGTCTCTGAAAGACTAACATGATTATTTCTCGAGACCCACACTTGAGGGCAATCACATGTGGACAGCAAGTTATTCGATCGAGCCTACCGTTTTACAAATTACAAATGTTGAAGCCAATGAAAATATTATGAACAGATTATAATAATGATGATAATAACAACAACAACAACAATAATAATGATAGTAATAAATGATAACTTTAATAGATGCATTAGTCGTAGTCGATGCTCTAGCCTAACAATGATAAAACATTATTACTTGTAGGCTACTTACTCCAGGTTGCCTACCAAAGGCGATGGACGGTTACATTTTCCCCTGTCGATCTTGTAACTACATGTATTGTAAAACTTGCTGATTTTGTGTCACAGAATTCTACACTAAGTGTAGAATTCTGTGTTTTGTGTCCATGAGCCAAGAGTGCTTCGCGGAAATGCAAGGCTAAATCTTGTCTTTCTAGAAATCGTATTTAGTTACGCATTTTATAAACAGAGAGAAGAAAGCAAGCATGCGTTTTTTTTTTACTTCATGGGATCGTTACTTCATTATAAACTGCTGAGTCTGGTTGTTGAAAATAATGTTGACTAAAGCCTTGGATACAATTTTATTTCGCTCTGGAATGAAAAGAAATATCGTACTTTCAATCAATAAAATAGGCCAAATGATGTCGTCGAAAGATAGCGTTGTTAGAGATAATTTAGAGTCTGATTCACAGTCTTCATCAGCTTCTTCAACTTCAAGCAATGACAACCAGCGCCAGCGAAATCGAAATGACAACTTGGTGGTAAGTTATGTTTTGGCGAATGCAGTAAGTATATCTAGGCCCTTAGTAAGTTAGTAGATGCAAGCGTCAACTTGAAAGTTGATGTTAGGTGTTTAGGGATTTTATTTTCAGGCTAGGGCTAGGGCTAGGGGCACTTCACTGCAATAATAGTAGATCTAGATTCTAGTATACACTGCCGTAATAAGCTGACAAAACGCCTAACTTTTTTTGTCCAGAGGCAGAGCAGTGTCGAGAAATCAACGATTTTCGGTTTTCTTACATTATCTCAACTACTTTGCACAGTACATTGATGTTTGAACTCGCACCCTAATCAGAATGTCATTCCATTAGGCTACAACATAAAAATGTTGTTTATTTTCTTTGAGAAATAAACAAATAATCATGAAAAAAGGCGTTTTGCTAGCTTTGCCTTACTCAAGGCGTTTTAACAAGAACGCCTTTTTTTTAGATGTTCGCTGACAAAACGCCTTTTTTTACAGTCAGTGGCAGAAAAAAAGGCGTTTTGTCAGCTTTGCCCTAAACAAGGCGTTTTAACAAGAACTCTAACGCCTTTTTTTAGACGTTCGCTGACAGAACGCCTTTTTTTTGTCGCTGGCGCTAAACAAAAGTCGTTGTGTCAGCGAACTCTTTACAAATGTATTTAGCCGTATGCCTTATTGATAAGTCAGAATTGGGAGACGGGAGATGGGGCACAGAATCCGTTTGAAGTTTGCTGCCTGCTGCTATGTGTGTAGAAATATAGATTTGTCGCATGTAAAAACTGATTTTATTTTCGGAATCAGCGTATCGAAATTTTATAAGAAAAGTGGGTCGCATGTAACCTGATTTGTTGATGCCATATATATACATAAACTTAAGCAAACTTTGTTATCGAATTGCCAGAGATTCTATCAGGTCAGCCACTGTGTTTATGCATTTGACGTCAAATGATAAATCTGACAGGCCTAGATCTGATAAAAACAAAACTTAAACACTGACTGGACAATTTATAGGCATTGCGATTTCAACTGGACAGCACGGCACCATGCCCATGGTTCTCGAGTAGGGGGTCATTGTGACGTCAAAGAGGTCATCCTGTCCGGAGTCTTGTCCTCAGAGGTTTATTAGTTAAAACCGCTTCATATAACATCTAGAACTCTTCACATGGATAAAAAATTACTAAGAAATCGACCATTTCTCTCCTCCTCCCCCACCCATCCCTTTCTCCC